TAAATTTTTGCTATAAATAATGGTTTTCCTTTTATTATAATTATTTCTTCAAAAATCTTTCTTCATTACTACTTTGTGAACCTCTTCAGAGCAAGGGCCACTTTTAATTTATCCAATTGTCCCTGGTGTCCAGTGTAGTGCCTTGCACATGTAAAATGCTCTATAAATATTTGTTTATGAATATGAAAAAGTCAGTGAAATGTAGCTCACCACAGGCAACATTTGGATATTGAATATTGTACTGTGTATTCTGGGAATTCCAGACCATGCCTCACAGTTTTATTTCACTTAGGGCAGCATTTTGTAGGTCTGACTGTCATCATTCATCTGTTCAGTACTGGGGATTTAGAAATGAGCAAGATTGACACAACCCTTTTCCCCATGGAGCATTACTGTCTCGTAACTGACAGTTTCCTAGACCTGAGATCGCAAATATTCCTTTCATGATCCTGTGACCTGTGCTCATTGGCAGCAAGGTAGTGTGTAGAGAGCATGTGCTGTGGATCTACCCGGATTGGATTTGACTCCTTGTTTTACCTCTTTGGGACATGTTTTGCAACAACTGTGCGTATTACAATTACTCCTCTTGCTTCTCACACTGACCACAAACTTGACCAATTTCAACTACACTTGAAGAAGCACCATTTTAAATAAATGAAAGTAAGAATTTTATATATCAATTAAATGAATATAGCTTATTACATTTTAATATGGTACATGTTTATATATTAAGATTATAGTAAAAGTAACATCAATTAATCATAAAAATTACAAATTACAAATAGTTTCATGTTATTTAATGTATTATACAAAACAGTTCCCCATTATTTAATGACTAACGTGTGTATGTGTGTGCTTGTGATATTTATAATAAACACTTGTGAATATATAGAAAAATTCTGGAAAGATATATTAAAAACCTGCTAACCAAGATCATCTCTGGAAATTAGTGGCTAAAATTTCTAGTGGTAAAAAATTCTTTTTATTTTCTGTACTTCTTAAAACTTGAGTTATTTATATGTATATTTATTTATTTAATTATAAGCAGCTAGTTTAAGTAGAAACCATATCAATATATTAAAATGTCTTACCAAACAACAATTAGTTATGGAATTGTATGTGGCTAATTTAATTAAGTTTCTTGAGAACAATATTCTGAAAATTCAGAGAAATAAATTATTTACATATTTTACTCCAGATTTATATACAAATTATATGTAATGAATACTTTTTTGATATAATGTTCTCTTAGTGAAACTATCAAATTGCCCTTTTCTACTGGTGACCCATTATAATACTGCTTTGTTCATCTAAATTTTGACAAATTTAATTAAGTGAAAATTCCTTTTGGATAATTGAATTCTACAATATTCTGATCTCTATAAAAACAAATCTATTGGCCAGGCTTGGTGGCTTACACCCATAATCCCAGAACTTTGGGAGGCTGAGGTGGGCGGATCACCTGAGATCAGGAGTTCGAGACTAGCCTGGCCAACATGGTGAAACCCCGTCTCTACTAAAAATACAAAAAATTAGCCAGGTGTGGTGGCTTGCACCTGTAGTCCCACCTACTCGGGAGACTGAGACACGAGAATCTCTTGAACCCGGAAGGCAGAGGTTACAGTGAGCCAAGGCCGTACCACTCCAGCCGAGGTGACAGAGTAAGACTCTGTCTTAAAAAAACAAAAAAACTATCTACTAAAAAATGCTTTGTAGTTTCAACTGCAACTCTTGAATTTATATTTAATTCCAGACATATCAGTTAGCTATTGGTGTGTAATCACTCTAAAACTCAGTGGCTTAAAAATCACCATTATTTACTGTTGCTTGTATGTCTTTACTGTTGCTTGTACATCTGCAGGACAGCTGGGCCTCTGTTGATCCAGGCTGGGCTCAGCTGGGAGGCTTTCTTTACTTCAAGCTGAGATGGCTAAGAGGGGTTCTGTACTTCATAGAGGACTGGTGAACTGGCTGGATTACAAACTCTTGAGGGCACATTTTTATGTGATGATAGTGTAAGAGAGAACAGAAGCACTCAAGGCCTAGGATCTGGACTGGCACACTCCCACTTCCTTCAAGAAAGCAAGGCATATGGCCAAGCCAAAAAGTCAAAGGGCAAGGAAGGATACTTTCTCATGATGAGCATGGAGTAGTATGGATGGTGCAGGGTTGAAGGAGCAGAGTTACCGAGGCCGTCTGCCACACCAGATTAGATTATGGAAAACTGGGGTAGAGACTTCAGTGGTCTGAGCTGTGTGGATTCAATAGGAGGTAGAACATAGGGAGCAGGATCTGTTAAGTGAAGAAATGGAAGTGCTTGTGACAGGAGTGCTAAATTTTCTCCGGGCAAAAAGGGTTGAAAGAGCTATGGCTGAGGGACATCAGAGGGCTGACTTGTCCTGGGATCCAGTGGGAAAAAGAGCAGTATAGCTGGGTGAAGGGAGAGTAAGAGGCAAATAAGACATAACCACTCCTCAGCACCCGTTGAAATTGGTTGCAGGACTACTGCAAAGACCAAAATCCAGGTTGTTCAAGTCCTGGATATAAAATGGTGTAGTATTTGCATATAACCTATGCACATCCTCCTGCAAAATTTAAATCATTTCTAGATTACTTATAATACCTTATACAATATAAATGCCATGTAATAGTTGTTATACTCTATTGAGTTTTATTTTTACTATTTTTTAATGTTGTATTATTTTTATTTTTGTTTTTTCAAATATTTTCAATCTGCCGTTGGTTGAATTTGTGGATCAGACCTGTGGATACAGAGGGCTGACTATATTAAGAATGTCTAGGTGGGGTGCCGTGGCTCATGCCTGTAATTCCAGCACTTGGGGAGGCTGACGAGGGTGGATCACCTGAGGTCAGGAGTTCGAGATCAACCTGGGCAACATGGTGAAACCCTGTTTCTACTAAAGATACAAACATTAGCCAGGTATGGTGGTGCACGCCTGTAATTCCAGCTACTCGAGAAGCTGAGGCAAGAGAATTGCTTGAACCCTAGCAGTGGAGGTTGCAGTGAGCTGAGATCACACCACTGCATTCCAGCCTGGGCAAAAGAGCCAGACTCCATCTCAGCGGGTGGATCACCTGAGGTCAGGAGTCTGAGACAAGCCTGGCCAACATGGCAAGACCCCATTTCTACTAAAAGTACAGAAATTAGCTGGGTGTGGTGGTGGACACCTGTAATCCCAGCTACTCAGGAGGCTGAGGCAGGAGAATAGCTTGAACCTAGGAAGCAGAGGTTGCAGTAAGCCAAGATGGCGCCACTGCACTCCAGCCTGGGCGACAAGAGGGAGACTCCGTTTAAAAAGAAAAAGAAAAGAATGTCTAAGTGGATGATCTCTGAACTGAAGCCTTATTTTAGTTAATTAAAATAAGGTAAATAGTTATTATCCACTGAACTTGTGTATTTCCAGATTATGCAATAGTCAGTCATCCCTCTGTATGGGGTTGCCGGTTGGCTCTAGGCCACTCTTCCCCTGCAACAATACCAAAATCCATGAACTACCAAGTCTGGCTACAGAACTCACAGATACAAAACATCAGCCCTTTGTATTGGTAGGCTCCTGCATCCCATCAATGCTGTATTTCTGATTCATATTGGTTGAATTTGTGGGTGTGGAACCCACAGTTATGGAGGGCTATTTATTGAAGAAACATCCACTTATAAGTGGATCCACGCAATTCAAACCTGTGTTATTCAATGGTCAGCTGTAGTAGAACCTACAAGAATTAAGTTTTTCTGCACTGGGTTCAGGTTTGGCCAGTGGTGTAGCTACTCTGCAGGATTTTGATATCCTAAATCACACACAAGTACAGTATTTGGAGCAGGGAAGACATAATCACCATTAAAAAAATCATTCTCAGTTAATTTCATGCTTTTCATTAAAACTGGCACTTTAATCAAAGTGATGATCCTTGCACCATTAAATAGGGAATATTTCTTTTTTTATTTTTTTTATTATTTATTTATTTATTTATTTATTTAAAAAAAATTTTTTTTTTTTGAGACGGAGTTTCGCTCTTGTTACCCAGGCTGGAGTGCAATGGCAGGATCTCGGCTCACCGCAACCTCCGCCTCCTGGGTTCAGGCAATTCTCCTGCCTCAGCCTCCTGAGTAGCTGGGATTACAGGCACGCGCCACTATGCCCAGCTAATTTTTTGTAGTTTTAGTAGAGACGGGGTTTCACCATGTTGACCAGGATGGTCTTGATCTCTTGACCTCGTGATCCACCCGCCTCGGCCTCCCAAAGTGCTGGGATTACAGGCTTGAGCCACCACGCCCGGCCTAAATAGGGAATATTTCTGAGTCAATTCAATACTTGTAAGTTCATGATTTTTCCATATGATGTGCTGCCTGTTGAGTAATTACGTACAATTCATTTGTAATTTCTTTTCCTTTTGATGTGAATTTAGGTGAGGAACCCTTCTGCTTCTTGAGTACTGGATGCATTAGAATCACATACCTTTGCCTTTTTTCTTATCTGCACTGTTTAAAAATATTTTCCATTACTAAGAAAACAGCTGTTGTCTTTAAGTCAAACTGCATACACAGCACTGTGGCTATTAGAATGGAGACAAATTACCTCATTAGTAGAACACACCTCTCCTCAAGAGAACTAATCCTGGGGCTTATATTTTCGGACATATTCTGAGAAAATCTTTTAAGACTACTGGATAGTCTTCTTTGTTTCATTGCTACTCTGATTTACATCATTTAAAAAAAAAAACAATTTGATGATACATCTACATGTTTGAGTATGTGATTCTCTGGTCTTTGTTTAGCAGATAATTTCTCTTTTATCCAGAATCTTTGAGCAATAATGCTTTTTGTCAAAGAAAGTTTATTGAACATGTACATTAGCCATATGTTAAAACAGGAGAAGGATTGATACAATTAAGAACATTGGCCTTGCAGCTGTTATCTTGGCAATCCAACACTTTGCTTCATTGCCTTTTTTGTTGTTGATGTCCGTCCTCCTTCTTTCTAGGCTGGGAAGTGATGATACCCACTTCGAGCTTAGCATGGCCAACAATGGATGTGAAGTGCATCGTTTTGATCCTAGTGTCAAGTCAGCTCACATTCTGGAGAGTCAGCACCTTTGGTATCACCGCTTGTCCATTGACTGGCGGGATCCCCATCCAGCTGTTGCTGCCCAGAAACCATACAGCAACACCAGAAAACTGGGAAGCATTTTGAATGAATTTGGGCATCACAAGGTGAGATTTTTCATTTGACTTTATACTTGAATAAAGTGAACAAATCCATCAGCTTTTTAAAACGCAATCCAAGAATAAAGCAACATTGACATTAGATAGTTGAAGGTCCAGTTATTTTATTTTATTTTAATTTTTATTGTACTTTAAGTTCTGGGGTACACGTACAGATCTTGCAGGATTGTTGCATAGGTACACACATGCCATGGTGGTTTGCTGTCTCCATCCCCACATCACCTACATCAACCATTTCTCCCAGTTTTATCCTTCCCCAACCTCCCCGTCTCCTGCTGCTCCTTCCCTGGCCCCCCACCCCCTAACATAGCCCTGTGTATAATGTTCCCCTCCCTGTGTCCATGTGTTTTCATTGTTCAACACCTGCCTATGAGTGAGAACATGCGGGGTTTGGTTTTCTGTTCTTGTGTCAGTTTGCTGAGAATGATGGTTTTCAGATTCATCCATGTCCCTACAAAGGACATGAACTCATTGTTTTTTATGGCTGCATAGTATCCCATGGTATATATGTGCCATGTTTTCTTTGTCCAGTCTATCATTGATGGGCATTTGTGTTGTTCCAGGTCTTTGCTATTGTAAACAGCGCTACAGTAAACATACATGTGCATGTGTCTTTATGATAGAATGATTTATAGTCCTTTGACTATAAATGCCCAGTAATGGGATTTGCTGGGTCAAGTGGAATCTCTATTTCTAGGTCCTTGAGGAATCTTCACACTGTCTTCCACAATGGTTGAACTAATTTACACTCCCTCCAAGTTTTAATCTCACTAATCACCTAACATTAGAGAGTCAACTCTAGACATAAAGTGTTGGCAAAGATAGCAATATTTAAATTGATTTGAAGATTTTAGTTGCTGTTGAGTAATATTAATGGTCTTGGCCAAGACTAGGCAAGAAGACTAAGAAACTTACTTCTGGCATAGACTGAAGAATACCATTTTCATTTGGCAACTGATTTACACTTTCCGGAAAGAGCAAACTACTTATGTTGACCTCAAATACAAAAAAATAATTGGGGTTATGTTTAATAAGATATTGCCGTGTATCATGTTACTCACTGTTGTTACCTGTTTCTCACTATTTTGAACCTCTAGGCTCTATACAGAAAATATGTATAACTTTGATTAAAATTTACTTTATAAAATTGAATGGACATTATGTTGGAAATTATATATCAAAGGATGTCAAATCTCTGCAAACATTTTATTATGAATGAACAGCAAAAAAGAAATTCAATCTTTGAACTGTGTTCTTTGAAAGCAATTTTTAGTGTAGCATACCTGAGCTGATTGTATTCTGTAGGTGGATACTAGGGAATTTCTCCTGAGTGTAGTTGGCTTGTGTTTGATCTTTAGCCCTTCTTGGGTTTGGCTATTTTGTACTGTGTTCCCAGCCAGAGATGTCGTGTAATTTAGAACAGATCACAATGGGTGTTTCTATTTGAGAAACAGTGTGCATGAGACTCAATTTTAAACTCGAGTTGGCTTCTTGATCTTCAGCAAGAGGCTTTTCCCCACGTTGCTGTTCCTCCTCCTCCTCCTCCTCTTCCCCATCTTCCTCCCTTTTCTCTTTTTCCTTTCTTCATCTTCCTCTTCCTTCTCCTTCCTCCCTCTCTTCTTCTTCCTTCTTCTCTTTCTTCCTTTAAACAACCTTTAATTAGATAGCCCATGCTTAATCAAGAACAACTTCAAAAAATTTGCTATTCTTTTAACACACTATTAACTATTGATTTGTGCCTTGCTTTGCCACCAAGAGTAACTGGTGGCATTTAATAGTCAAAAGCCTCAGTGAGGCATATGTAGGATTTTTGGGTAAAATCTCAGAAGAAGCAGGAGCATTTTTCAGAACTTTATTTAGGGTTTTGTTTTTTTCTTTTCTGTTCCTTGTTACCTCTGTAGATCTGTTTTTTCCTGCTGAAAATTACAGGCCTGTTTCTCTAATATGTCAACTTTAGATTATTCAAAGAGCTAAGTACTCATTCTTTGTGTTCAGTTAGGAGTCTTGCTGTTCCTCTTTTATGCTCTTTACATCCTAGCCTTCTCCAAACCCACTCTTCAAAAAAAAAGACTGAATAGGAAAGAGAGAAACTCAATGCTATTTTGCTTATTTTTTTCCTAATAATATTTTAGCAAAAGATTTGGTAAAGGTGAGGATAAAATAAGACGTTGAAAAAGTGATCTGCAGATATAATTTATCTAACCACGTTTCCTATGGGAAATGTATTTTTAGATAACAAGATATGTACCTGAATTGTGTTTGTTTAGTTGCAGTGGACAAACCCGTATGCTAAGGGTAAAGCATGAGGCCTTTTGCAGTGCTGCTCCTCAGATAGTAGAAATATTTACAGTGATGTCTAAAAAGGAGAAATGCTTCAAGGGATTGCTTATGTTTCTAAGGCTACTTATTTAAAAAAAAAATGTTTACAATGAAAGTGATCTGGCACAGAATTGCCAGGAATGCATTTGTTCCTTTTTTTTTTTTTTAATTTCTTGTTGAAGAATTTAAAAGATACTGCCATTCTTCCCTAGAGATTTTTTTTTTTTTTTTGGTGACTGCTTTAAAACAAAAGCAACAAAACTAAACCCATGAGTGATTGCTTTCCTTAGGAACATGCTTCTAGGAGCTATGCGGGGCCAGATAAATAGAAATCTTTTTTGTGGCATGCAGCAAGCATGGTCTATTTTCATTTTTCTGCACGTGTACAGACAGTGGTAAATAGGATGTGGCTGTGGCAGGGGAAGCAGATAGAAAAAAACACAGTAACAAATGTCAGCGTTTCTGCCTTGACACCTTCATTCATTTATTCTGAAAGTGAGTGTAGAAACCAAAGCGTTTTAGCTGTTTTGTTTTCATTTCATAACTTTAAGATATCTCATATAGTTTTGTAATAATTTTCCTACTCGGCTGTTAGTTTTCCTTTTCTATATATCCATACCTGGATTCCAGCCACTCAAGCAAAATATGGGCAAAATGAAAGCAGTCTTCTGAGATAGTGACAGAAAGACGCATACGGCTTTTGTACTGCTTTTAAAACTCTGTGGTAATTTTAACTTCAAAGTATAAATCAAAAGCCTTTTCTAAAGCATTGGGTTAGAGCAGCTGCATCAGCAAAACCATGTGGACCAGAAGCCCAGTCTGTCAGGGAATAATATCACTTGGATCCAGCATTACATGAAATGATTAACTGTCTACTCTTTGCAGAAGTGGTTATTGTTAACTAAGCATACAATTTTTTTCAGGCTGCAACTAGAAATACTGAATCTGAAGTTTCTGCTCATATTAATCATAATGTATGTTTTTTTTTTTTTTTTTTTTTTTTTTTTTTTTTTTTTT